GAGGGGGGGGGGGGGGGGGGAGAAAACATATGAGGTTGAGAAAAGCTGACTTTTGCTTCTCATCTGAGTGAACAAAGGGGCTTGTTTTGTTTGTTTGTTTGAGTAAAGAGAACATCAACTCAATAACAGATATTTAGCTATTAAAAGCATACGAAAAAATAAAACGATAAAGACAAGGAAAAGATCGATAGCAATTGTTTGACTTAAATATAGGTTTGTTGAAAGTGGAAAGAGCAGCACAAACATTAAACTAACTTTCTCGCCTAAGTACAATGTATCTGAATGCAAGATATGAGATCAGTCTAGGATCTAGGCACAGGAAGTTGATAGAATGCCATCCATGCTGACGGGCAGACAACAAAGCAAGGGTGTTAAACTCAATTGCTCAGGGGCGAGGTCTCAAATTGCTTTTAAGGTTGCACAACAAACTGGACTCATTGAGCAGTTAAAAAACTAAACCTTTTTTAAACAATATGAAAAACCCCCCAGACAAAAGTGAGAATAATAACAACAAATCAAGGAATACCAACTTTCACTTTGATACCAATTTGTCAGTTGGATGTTTGACATCTTTACTTGACAACAAGTTCATTTAGGTTAAAGTAAGGTTCAATGTTATGGAGATTTTCAGGATGAGCTTCCTAATATTCTCTCGCAAGCCGGATTTAACTGTTTGCAAGGCAAGATGCAGCCAGAGGGACTTAAGTTAGATACCTGTGGTCTAGAGGTACCACCAGAACCTCACAGTCCCAGCTGACTCGGGTTTACGGGCCAGGGCCAAGAACACCAAACTCAGTGGTTGCCCCTTGGCGTAACATCCAGGTCAGTAAGACTGTTTATTGCCGGCAGCCTTAATTACTTACAATTGCAATGCTCTCACCAACTTCGTAGCTGCAGCCAGGAAGAATGCTCAGACCTTCAGATCAGTTACTCATATGACAAGGACCATATTGCACACCGCTCCCGTGGAGAGCAGCGAGAGCCACCGAAGTGGTTCACAGCAATCCTCTAGCATGGGGCCGTTTGGGCCCAGTTAGCCTCATCTGGGTTGGCCACTCATACCAACGTGGGATGTGCCCTCTGACGTCGTGCTAGAACAGCACCCCAAGCAAAGAAGCGTTGTACTGGGTTACATGTTAGTTAGTAGTATAAGGTTTTACGGCGCTCGCAACTGCTAAGGTCATATGAGCGCGCGAAACACAAGTTGTTCACTTCTGCGAAAGTT